AACGTGGTATATATACACAATGGAATTCTATGCCTCCATCAGAAAGAATGACATTGCCCCATTTGTTAGGAAATGGAAAGACTTGGAAAAAATTATATGAAGTGAAGTAAGCCAGGCCCAAAGAAACATAGGTCCCATGGTTTCCTTTATTTGCAATAACTAGTATATGTCTGAGACAAGCAGAAACAGTCAGATAAGGTGATGTTAGGCTAAATGAACCCCAAGATAAGGACTCAAATGGTTTTTCTTTCTTACTTTTGTTTCTAACATATTTATAAGATGATTTCTTTGTTGCTTTGTATGTCCCTTCCCCACAGTATAACCCCTGTTTTCACTGTATTTGATGTTGGTATGATTTGTGGAGGGGAAGGGAAAAACCTAATTGTTTAAATAGGGATACAGGTGGACCCATTGCAACAATGAAATGTACAAGATGTTATGTCAAAAAACGAAGGGGAGTGGGTAGGCATAGGGGAGATGGGAAGGGATGGGAAGGGGAAACAAAGGCGGAGGCAACAATGCTTGATAAGAAATGTACTCATTACCTTGCTCATGTAATTGTAATCTCTCTGTAGGGTGTTTTCCTAATTAAAAAAAAAAAACCTCCAGGAGCTGCTATCAGTATATAAAACTCTGGGAAGATGTTCAGAAATGGTCTCTCACCTGTGGCCCTGACAGATTTGGAGGCTCATGGCTGTCCCACAGGACAAATTCAAAAGAATCTTCAAATATTTCTCCACCGAAGTGACGATAGGAAATGATTCCATTAAACAGATCCCTCTGAAGGAAGCCTTGGACAGGGTAGCCTATTAGGTCACAAAGCACACATTTAGGTATTGGATGACAATGACCTGAGAGTTATCTCCAAAAATCTTCTCCTCTACTATGGGGAGGAATCCAAGATATTTGCCTTAAGTATTTTTAGCAAAGTTTATAAATAATAAAGCAGAAAAACTAAAATTGCTCTGTGTGTGTATGCTAGTACTGGGGCTTGAACTCAAAACCTGGGCACTATCCCTTAGCTTTTTGCTCAAAGCTAGTGCTTTACCACTTGAGCCACACCCCCAATTCTAGCTTTTTGCTGGCTAATGAACTTTGCTGCCCTCACTGGCTTTGAAATGTGATCCTCAGATCTCTGCCTCCTAAGTAGCTAGGATTACAGGTGTAAGCTACCAGCATAACCCATCTTAATGTGTAGAAAAATTAGCATAGGAAAACATTTCCAAAAAACATATTCTTATATGAAATATACTAAGTAACACTACTTACTCCAGCCCTATTTTATATACTTCTCAACTATCTCCTTTAAGAAGTAATTATGGCCAGGTGCCATATCTTAGTTACTCAGGAGACAGATCTGAGGATTGAGGGTCGAAGCCAGCCCAAGCAGGAAGTCCATGAGACTCTTATCTCCAATTAAACACCAAAAAAGCAAAAATTGAGCGGTGGTTCAAGTGGTATAGCACTAGCGTTGAGCACAAAAGCTCAGGAACAGTGCTCAGGCCCTGAGTTCAAGCCCCAAGACTGTCACACACACACACATGGAGTAGTAATTTAAATGATTCTATCAAAATGTAAGTAAATGCTGTTCTTGGCATTTATTAATCATGAAGAACAGGCCAAATATCTCTCTTCCAATTTATTTGTCCCATCACATTAATTGTCAACCTTAACTTTTTTTTTTTTTTTTTGTCGGTCGTGGGGCTTGAACTCTGGGCCTGGACATTGTCCCTTAGCTCTTCAGCTCAAGGCGAGCGCTCTACTCCTTGAGCTACAGCGCCACTTCCGGTTTTCTGGTGGTTTATTGGAGATAGGAGTCTCACGGTCTCTCCTGCTGGGGCTGGCTTTGAACCGCGATCCTCAGATCTCAGCCTCCTGAGTAGCTAGGATTACAGGCATGAGCCACCAGCGCCCGGCAACCTTAACTTTTTTGTTTTTGGTTTTGGTTGTGTTTTTTGACAGTGCTGAAGTTTCCACTCAGTCCTTGCACTACCTAGGCAAGCACTCTACTGTGGAGTGGCACCTCTGGCCTTTATTCATGCAATAGGTCTTGCTTCTGCTTAGGTGTACACTGGGACTGAGATGCACCTGTTTGGGGCTCTCCATCCTAGCGAGGCTAACAGGAACAAGTTATCATGCCCGGCTTCTTTTATTGAGACAGTCCCACAGACTTATTTGCTCAAGGCTGGCCTGAAATTGTGATCCTCCCAATCTCAGCCTCCCACAAAGTAAAGATGACAGGCATGCACTTATGTGCCCAGCTATGGGTTGAGAAGAGGTCTCATTAACTTTTCTGCTTGACTTGGCCTCAAATTATGATCTTCCTATTCTCAGGCCCCAAGTAGCTAGGATGACAGGTGTAAGGGCATCTGTGCCCAGTCCAACTAACTTTTTATACTGAAATGGTTAGCTGGAGGCTCAGCTCTAGAATTTATTTGAAAAGTCAAAAACATCTTGTGAGTTGGCTGGAATCATTGTTAGAATGTGTCCTAAAGTAGACATCCCATTTATGAAATAAGATACAATTATTACTCCAATTTTACATAAGGGAAGCCTGAGGTTTAGAGAAATTGTTGATCTATCCAAGATTGTGTATCTAGAAAATTTTAGATCTTCACTGCCTGAAACATACCTGTCAGTCCTGGCCCTGGCTTCTTCATGATCTCTCCAGCCTGTGGGGGCTTTGTGATATTATAGAAGATGTAGTCATCACTGGAGTCCATGTCTGAAGCTCTCAGCATGGACCCTTGGATCAGGATGGTCTGCCCCTCTTCCAGTTCAATCACAACATTGGTTATAAGGAATGGAGGACTGTCATCTTTGGGTAAGATATTGATGGGAAATTTGTGGCGGGTGCTGTGAAAACCATCGAATATCCTGAATACCACAAAGTCTTTGGTGGAGTCGCTGTCATCGTGATGATAGCGAACAACTCCAGCTTGAAGGTCAGCCACAGTGAAGAGGAATCCTTTCTCCCCTGATAGAGAGAGTAGAGATGGGGCCAACTCAGTCAGGGAGAAGAGGCAGCAGCTGCAGGAAAGCATTGCTACGTGGAGGGCAGTAGGAAAAGTGGGACCACTTGTCGGTAATACCGTCACATGGAAGAAACACACAGATCCTGCTTGACTTGCAGTAGAATCCTACTCCATAAACCATCATAAGTTCAAAGTTTCCTAGGTTAAAAAGAAAGCTCCAAAAAATAAAATCCTAAGTCAAGAACTATAGATTGTTTTGTGAGCTCTGGTGTTGAATACTGGTGTTAACAATAATTTGTGGTGTGGACCTGACTGGCACATTTGATTTAGTTTAACTATTCTTTGAAAAATAATAAACTGAAATGATTAACCTTGTATGTCAACTTAACCGGCCCAAGGGAAGCAAGAAACTGCAGTCTTGTATCTGAGTGGTTCTGTGAGCACAGTATTTCTGGGAGAGACTGGCATTTGAATCAGTGGACTAGGAAATTCTCAGAATTTATCCTTTCTTATATTTTATTAATTCTTAGTCATAAGTGTCAACAAATAACTCTTCTTTACAGTTTGTAAAACTAAGGGGTTTGTTGAATTAATTTAATCCTTTGCGCTTATAACAAAAACAAATTATAGGAGGGGAAGTGTAATTGTGGAGGTGGGAGGGAAGGGATGGTAGAGGAAAAACAAAGGAGGAGGCAACAATGCTTGATAAGAAATGTATTCATTACCTTGCTCATGCAACTGTAACCCCTCTGTACAGTATTTTCACAATAAAAAACTTATTTAAAAACAAACTATATTATCATAAAGCATGAATATTATTTTATTAGGACTATTACCCTGTCAACTATCCTCCCTATAATTAATTATAAATTCTTTTTCATTCTAAACTATGGCAACTAACAATAACAACATAATAGCATCAGTATTATTGTAAGGTTAAAAACATGTTTTTCTGTTTTTCTCTAAAGCAGAAGAGAGGGAAATATTTTGTCATGCAACTGGAAAAAGATAAGCAGTTAACTTAGAAGGAGTTCTGTGTGGTTTCCAAAAAAGCAAAAATGAGGTTGAGTAATGAGCCCAGCATAAGATACACACACATGGACTTGAGCTGATGGTTCTAAGCACTCCAAATATTTAAAATATGACATTTCAGCTGGATATGAGGTTCAAGAAGTGCTGCAAATCTCCTGTTACATGTGACTTGCTTTTAAAGAAAATATTTCCGTGCTCCTTTTTAGATTGCACAGGTTGGTCACCTCTTACGGTAAGGCGTCCATGCCGCAGGCCATCGACAGTGACCAACTGGACAGCACCAATGTCATCATTGTCAACAATCTGAAACTGTTCCCAGGTGATGGCCCGAGACTGCCCCTCCAGGAGGTCCAGACCTACAGCAGAACACAAGAAGTCTGTTGTAAAGTTCTGTGGCACTTAACATACCAACTTAAGAAAAGGGGTCATGAGTTTTTACTTCTGAACCTATCTGAAAATTGTATCTCCAAATGCTTTTCCTGAAACTTGAATATAGTTTGTGATTAGGTAGATAGATACGTAGGTAGGTAGATAAATAGGTATGTAGGTAGATGGATGAATACATACATACGTATATATGTACATGGGTAGGAAGATGGATGGATACATACATACATACATAGGTAGGTAGGTAGATGGAGTGAGAGAGAGAGAGAGAGAGAGAGAGAGAGAGAGAGAGCAGCACTAGATTTTTAACTCAGGGCCTGTGCTTGCTTGAGAAACATTCCTAGCCCCTTCACTTCAATTATTTTTCAGATAGTGTCTTAACACTTTTTGCTTGGATCTAACTGTGACTGAAATCCTCCAAACTACACTTACTGCATAGTTATTATTAGAGTATGACCACCATTTGTTTGTTGAGATGAATTTTTTCCCTTACAATTATTTTTTACATTTTTCCCCCGTACGTTGGCCTTGAATGGAAATTTCCCTTATCTCCACAAATCCCTTTTAACGTCTCCTTAAGTATGATGGTGCCAGAAACTAAGGAAAGAATACATGCCATGCTCACAGTGATCTTTTGTTTTAAAATATAGACACAGAATTTTTCAAAGTTTCAGTGGATAAGAGTCAGAAATGCTTTTACAGATGATTTATGAGATCAAATATTAAAATATAAAGTGGTTCAATACATTTGTACAGAGACACTGTGCCTAACAGTTAATGATGTTAGATGTAGGATGTCTGACATTCTACACACATATAGATATTCATATATAAGTATATATGTATATATAGACATGTATACATGTATGTATGTGTACACATGCATATACATACATGTATACATTTATGCATATCTATGTATATACATATATATATATATATACCTTTATAAAGAAGGATAGTTTAAGCTATAATATGGAAGAAACTTTCTTTTTGAAAAAAGAAGAAACTTCTGTAACTAAAGGAAACAAAACCTTCTCATTGTACCTATTGGAAACCTGAGGAAAGATGTTCATTTTTGTTCTGGGATGGTGCTGGGATTTTGATCTATAGTTCAGCCCATGACAAAGGATGGAGATGCCACAGAGGAACCCAAAGAAAACTGGACATCTGCATAGCTAATGATTAACAATGTATCTTCATGGTGGAACAACGAACCATCTTCACTCTATTTATTGTCTTCTTTAAATTTTCAATTACAATATATATTAGATTCAGAATAAGCAAAACTTCATCTAAAAAGCATTTTAAAATCCAATCCAAGCAAATCCATTCCTGGAGTTCCCCTAACAAACCCAGGTGCCACAGAGCACTCATAAGCACACATTACTCCACCTCCACACCCAAAACCAACGATGGACACAGTGTACAAATACTACACTTGGGTGAAAATTCCTTCTTTTATGTCATTATTCCTTTACTAGAGGTCAGCAATGGGCACAGAATTACAAATCAAGGCTGCAACGTTAAATCAGACATATTTTCCTCTGAAATAATCTCCCATAATCACTTTTAGTCAAGTATGTTTGGAATACTATTAATATGATTAGTGAAAATGAAAAGAAAAACACCTTCATTTATAGTCTACATTTACATCTGATCTGCATATATGAATGTCATTATGAATCTACTTAGAATTGAGTGACAGTGCAGAGGCCTTTTTTTTCTTTATTTAGTATCTTTAAGTACGACGGAGCTGCATTTAACGAAGCAGTTTATGAAGACACACTGCTTAGGCTCTCGTTCATGTATTTTGGCTTCTGTGCAACATATAACAAACAGGAGCATGAACTCCAGTCTGCTCCTAGTTCCCATCCCTCTGAACAACTTGAGCTGAAAGCCTTCTTGCTCCCAGTCACCTATGTGGTAATACCATACATAGACACTTCTCTGCTTCACTCTTCTGAAAGGTGTCATTGAACTGCTGTCCTGCAGAGGAAAGAACATGGCTATGGGACAAAGGATACCAGATTGCAGTACACCACCACCAAAAACAGAAACAATTACCTGATGTCCTTGGCCCTCTGGGTTTCAGTTATGTGTGTGAGCTGGGAATAAAACTACCTACTCTCCACCATTCCCTATGGGCTGTGGCACGTGATGCCCCTCGAGACTCTCACCTGTATTCCAGGACACTCGGGGAGCATTGGTGTCTGCTGTTCGGATGGAAATGTGGACTACGATGGGGGCACTCTTCCCAAAGAAGAAGTCCAACACCTCCAGCTCAATCTGTAATGAAGGTGTGTGTAAGCGGGTTAATTCTGGGATGCAATTACAGAGAAAAGATGCTTCCAGATTGCTTTCTTTTTAATGGTGAAGTTGATTTCCATTTTTGAAATTGTTTTCTCTGTATAACCATTTGAGACAAATTTTACCTATTATATAAAATCACTCACTTTAAGTAGACATTTCAAAGTTTCTAACACATTTGCCAAGATGTACTACTATCACATAAAGAAGTTTCAAAGTACTCCATACATCCCCTCGTTTACCAATAATCTGCTCTCGGTCACTCTAGATTTGCCTGAATTTCAGTGAAACCATACAGCACATGATCTCTTGTATCTGGCTTCTTTCTCTAAATGTTATATCCTAAGATTCATTTGTGACACCACAGCTCTCTGTTGCCCATTCCATTTAACTGTTAAGTATTGCATCATATGAATATATTGCTATTTGGTCATTTCTGGTTGATGGGCATTCTATTTATTTCAGAATTAAACTCAGGACCTTATGCATTCCAGACAAGTGCTCTACAGCTGGGCTAAATTTCCAACCCTGTATATTGTTTCTGATTGTTGTTTTAAATATTATTTTTTTATTTGAATGGATATCAGGCACAAGTGGCTCACACCTATAATTCTAGAGATTCAGGAGGTTGAGATCTGAGGGATGCAAGCCAGCCCAGGCAGAAAAATCTATGAGCCTCCTATCTCCAATTAACTATCCCCCCAAAAGCTGAAGTGGAGCTGTGGCTCAAGGAGTAGAATGCTAGCCTTAAACAATAAAGCTCAAGGACAGCACCCAAGCCCTGAGTTCAAGCCCCAGATGGACACAAAAAAAAGAGAATAAAAATGTTGATAGGTGTGTAATTGCACATATTTGGATGGTATATTTAACATTGTAATACATGTCTCCTATAATGATCAAAGTAGGGTAATTATTAATTGCAATTATAAACTGATATTAATAATAAATCAATATTAGTTAATAATAAATAATTTAATATTTAACAAAAATATTAGTTCTAACATTAAATACAATGATAAAATTATAGCTATTTCAAATAATTACTATTTTCATGTGTTGGGGATATGCAAAGTCCTCCATAGTAGCTATTTTGAAATATTTAATTAGATGTTGTCAATCCTAGTTACCCACTGTGTAGTTGACCTTCAAATTAGTTCTCCATCTCATTGGACCCTGAATCCAGTCACCGGTCTCTTCATCCTCTCTCCCCATACCCTTCCCAGACTCTGATGTCTACTACTCCATTCTTTGCCTCTATTTTTGACAACTTGATTTCACTTTTCAAGTTCCAGATTTTGTTCCTTAGTTCTTAAGTATTTTTAAAAGATTTATTTTCCGAGCCAGACACCTGTGGCTCATGCCTATAATCCTAGCTACCCAGGAGGCTGAGATCTGAGGATCACAGTTCAAAGCCAGCCTGGGCAGGAAAAGTCCATGAGACTCTTATCCCCTCCAATAAACCACCAGAAAACCAGAAGTGGTGCTGTGGCCCAAGTGGTAGAGCGCTCACCTTGAGCTGAAGAGCTGAGGGACAGTTCTCAGGCCCAGAGTTCAAGCCCCACAGCCAACCCCCTTCCCCCCCCCAAAAAAAAGATTTATTTTCCATAAAATAATGTGAAACTAGCAAATTCATTGGAAAAGTGTTCCCTTCATTTGTTAAGGAAACTGTCCTAATCCAACATCAGAGCACTCAAATCTCCCTCTAGGAGAGAGCCTTTGTGGCAGTGGTTCTTAAGGAGGCCAATTCTGTCCCTTGAGATATTTGGGAATGGTTTCATTGATGAGCCAGTAGGGAGAGGTCTGCTACTAGCATAGTAGTGGGCAGAGGCTCAAAGATGTTACCATTCTACCACTCCCAGGCCAGTGCCTACCACAGAGTGTTATATGGACCAAAACATAATCATTACTGATTTTAAGAAATCTCAGCCTTAAGGGTTTCTAAAAGGATGGATCTTTGTTTTGGAAACTGTAAAAGTCACATTAGCTATTTTGAAATGTAACAATTACATGTCAATCATCATTCCACTGGATCTATTACAAATATTGAGATACTTTTGTTCTCATGAAGTCTATAACTAAAAGAAGCTAAGGGCCAATCCCACCTTTATAATTTGAATTCTGTTGACTGCCCTTGGGGCTAACCCCTGTTGCCTAGATTGCATAAAATACCTTTTGTTTAGTAGCCCCAGATGAACGAACTCATCTAAAACTATTGCATCTATGTAAAACAAAAAGACTGTTGCGGGACAATAGTTCTCAAACATGAGTGCCTCAGACATATTTTGTAACTGACACAAGATATGTAACAATTTGTAATTATGTCTTCTTATTTAAAAATTGGAAAAATTGGGCTGAGAAAGTGGCTCAGTGGTAGAGCGCTTGCCTTGCATGCCTGAGGCCCTGGGTTCGATTCCTCAGCACCACATAAGCAAAAAGAAAAAAGCCGGAAGTGACGCTGTGGCTCAAGTGGTAGAGCACTAGCCTTGAGCTGAAGAGCTGAGGGACAGCGCCCAGGCCCAGAG